AGCGGCAGTGAAATACTGCACAGCCAAGAGATGGGACTGCGCCAGGCTATGGCCGGCGCTTGGCTGCGAGCAGAGAAGAAAATGTACCGCTGCCAACGGTGAGGTGCTGCAGGGAGGCAAGGGTCAGCAGAAGGCATATTCTGGCCCCCAAGGAGCGAGGAGCTGGGGGTGCAGAGCAGAAGAACCTCCACCCCCGAACCGACCAGCAGGTGCTGTCTACAGCCCTCCTCACCCCCATGCAGTGGCCGGAGGATCACAGCACCCCCTGAAGAAGCAGCAAGCCTCGCTGGTGCTGTGGGTTCACAGTGCCGGGTGTTCACCCACTCACGAGGGGCACAGTGGCGTCCCCTCTTCCCACTCCCCCCAGGCAGAGCTTGTCCTTCCAGACACCCTGTCCGGAGATGAGAGGAAACCCCATGGGGAGGCAGCACTCGTGGAGCAGGCCATCACCTCGCGGCCCCATTGAGACCCTCCTGCTGACCCTCCCCAGGAGCCTCTCCAGCCGCTCGGGGGAGGGCAGCAGAAGAGGTCTCAGATTTGGCTCCTCCACCGGCAAGCTGGCACCACTGCCAGCAAGGAGCAGCCTGGGATGGCCAGGCACAGCCAGGGGTCCCTCTCCGCGCAGCGAGAAGCCCGACCTGCTGCTCGGTAGGTGAAAAAGCAAGAGTCGGGTGTTCAGTACCCTAGAAATTACCTGAAAAATGATTGCCTGCGGTTGTACCACGCACTGTCTCATCAGCATGGAGCACCACTGCCATAGCATGGAGGAGAGAAAACACAGACACATGAAATGAGGAATATAAAAGGAGAGACCGAGAAGGACAAACCAAAAGGAGGGGCAAGACGGGGGCTCGTGTGCTCTCCCTGCCCCATCCCACTCGGCTCGGGTGGACGGGACCTGGGTGCCTGGCAGGGGGCTGGGGCTGGGCCCCCCCAGCAGGCACAGCGCCCAGCAGGGGAGCAGCTGGGGTGGGGAGGAGAGGGGTGGTCTCTGCGTGCCCATGGGCAGCAGCACACCCCCTCTCACAGGCAGCGGGGTCTGCATGGTCCTTCCCCTGACAGCCTTCGCTGCAAAGTGGAAACAGGAAGGTTTCTATGCTGGCAGAAGTTTCACATTCACCTCCACTGCAAAAGCTTTATTTCTGAATATTAACCCCCGGGGCAGGGGAGGTGATGGGCAGATGGAAGGAAAAAGGGTGCAGGAGTGTTTCGGTACCATTTTCAAACCATTTACGTAGTGTGGCAGGAGGCAGGCTCTGCCGTCTCCTGCTGCACTACACTGAATTGACAAGACAGCCCATCACCAGCTTCACCCCGTGCTTTTCCTAGCAAAGATTCCTGAACGTAACCCACCTAAAGGTCCACCCACCCTACATGTACAGCAATTTTCTCTTTGAGATTTACCTG